GGACGAACCAAAGTGATTCTCGGACGAACCAAGAGGGTGGCTCGGACCAACCAAGCGAAACTCGGACCAACCAAGCTTAACTCAACACAAAAGGATGTAGAGAAGAGTCTCAAAGACTTAGTTCGAAATTGATCAAGCAAAAAGGTTCCCTCAAAGTGGGTTTACATGGGTTTAAATAGATAATACTAACAACTAGAAATTAAAGACAACTCAACATGCAAGGCTTCAACAATTCTCGCCATTAATGAGGTAGGTGGGGAGATACTAGCTGTTGGAATATAACTTGGGTTCCAAGAAGCTTCCTTTGAGTAGCTTGCATCCTAAGTGTTCTCTTCTTCGCACACAAGCACATGATAAGCCGTGGCGGATTCGGCCGAGGATGAGCACGCACGTTCGAGCGTGAGTTCGGACACGACACGAGACACGAAGGTATTGAATTGTTGTCGAAGTGTCCGTGTCTTGGATCGAGTGATCGGAGGATCCATGCGAACGGGACGTGTGGGCTCAATCCTTGGATCTTCAAGTTCCGGCTCCATTCCCGCTCCGAGCTCCGGTTCCGCTCCTTGCTCCGCTTCTAGCTCTGCTTCTAGCTCCGTTCCTGTTCCAAGCTCCGGGATGTCCTCATCAACATATCTATTGCAGGAATCTGTTTTATCTCACCATGCGATCTATCCTTATGAAGGATAAGCCTCTAACCACGGCTTCCAGATCGATCATTGATGCTTATTGGAAGCATGAGGATGATGATCTGGACGTGTCCAGCTTGATGCTTGGAAAGATGTCTTTGGAATTGCGTGAGCAATTAGATGACATGGACAATTAATTGATGGTTGATGAGTTGAATATGTCATTCCAAGAGAAAGCTGGGAGCCAAGGAAAGAATGATATGGTGGTTGTTGGAAACATTTCCAGCAAAAGGAAGCGTTCCAAAGGTAAGGGCAAGAGAAAAGTGACAAGTGTTGTCACTAAGCCTAAGACAAAACCCAAGAAGAGGAGAAGTAGATCTCCGCATCGGGAATGGAGCAAAAGTTGTTGCATTGACCGTCGGAAATTATGATCTGACTTTACCTTATGGCCTTGTATTGGAGTTGCATGATTGTTATTTTGTACCTGCCATTAGCAGGAACATCATATCGATATCATTTTAGACTCAGATGGTTTTAGATTTGTTATTAAGAACAAATGTCTGTCCATTTATAGAGGCGATTTATTCTATGGTAAGGGTTACCAGTTTAATGGCTTTTATGTTTTGGAAGATGATGTTGGTTTAGTGCTCTATGATGTACTGTTTATGAGCTTTCTTTAGATACATTCGATGTATTGATACTTTCTATGGTTTTATGAGAGTATTTGATTCATTACATATTCTTGCATACTAGATCTGTTATGAAATCCATGTATCATTATGAATGATACTAAACTCCCTAGTCTTGTGTCATTATAGGAATAATGACAAAATAAGACTAGTATGATGTGTGATTGATGATCATAGAGATGATCATAGATATTGGATACGATCACAGTCATAGGTATTCATTGGAGAACAGGTGATCATAGGTATTGGATACGATCACAATCATAGGTATTTGTTGCAGAACGGAATACTGGACTGACCCGCATGAGATTGTCACATGGACTAGCGTCATGACTTGAATCTCATATGACGGTTCCATGATTGGATCCTAAGACCTGAGATATCTACGGAATCCAACATTAGGAGTTGCGTGCTTTGAATACGTCAAACGTCCTGCGTAACAGGAGGACTATAAAGGCGTGTATCAGGTACGAAACGAATCATGTACTGGATTGTAGATAGTCAAGACGGGATTTGTACCTCTCGTAAAAGAGAGAGATATCGTTGGGCCCCTCGTGTGAGCGAGACTGTAGAAATGTGTGGTCGCACTATAGACGAACGTCGTCTATTTCAGACAGTCGAACTCAGTTAACGAGAAAGCAGTCGAATCAGATAAGGTGGTTTGTCCATGCCTTATGTTCGACATATGATATCGCGATACAAAAGGATCATCAGCCGGAATCATCACTGGTGTTCGTAAGATCACGAACCAACTCTATTCGAGATAGGTAGTCATAGTGTCTTGCTAGAGACCGCCTATGACTTGTATATCCGGAATAGAGATTTCGGATATACTGCTTATATCGAATGAGCAATAGGGTCACACACGCAGGGAAGGACAAAACACACGAGAAAACGACGGAAAAACCAAGACGGAAGAGTCTGGAACGGAAGGAACACA